CCTGGAAGGACACACACTATTTCTGTTACTGGAAACAGTGTATCTCACTAAAATTGAGCCAGATCTAAGATGAAAAATGCCACAAAACTAATATTTCAAGCAAGTCCACAGCCTTAAAACCAAACGATATGTTTAAAAGAAATTAAACGCACTTAAGTTAGAGTAAGGTAAGAATTTAATTCCTTGAGGAAGGAAGCTTTCCCTTGTTGAACATTTTGGATCTTTACTAATAATGTATTAAAGAGCTTCTTAGAACAATCCTTATATATTTAATTGACTCTGGCAGTTCTTTATTGAGTTTCTGTTACAGGCAAAGTGCCAGGCCAGCATTGAAAAGTGCCTCCCCCACATGGTGTCATCACTGAGTTTTCTTTTGGTTCTTGGTTGTTTCAGATCTGTACATTTTTACATCATTCCCAACAATGACCAAGCCGCTGACAAGTTATGTGAGGTTGACTAGTTATACATTGAGTTCATTTAGAGTCATAATTAGCAATCTCCATGATTTGCTTTGTTCATAGATTTATCATTTATTGAGGTAATACTCTACATTCCTGCATAGTTGAAGGTTTCTTTCAAGTAGGGTTACTTGACCTTGGCACTGCTGATATTTGGACTGAGTCATTCTTCATGATGGAGACTCTCCTGCACCCTTGAGGCTGTTTAGCAGCATCCCTGGCCTCTACTGTTTAGATGCTGGCGCTTTACTCCCAGTTGTGACAACCAAAATTATCCCCAAACATCACCAGGTCTCCTGGAGGGCAAAATCACCCCCAGTAGAGACCCACATTACAGAATAAAGGAAATGTATGGACCGAAATGGTAGTAGGTAGGGGAAACATTATCTCAGTGTCTCAATTAGAAAAATAACTCAGCAAAATAGCTCCTCATCGTTTTTAAATAAGTACATGTACATATTTCCTCAGTAACCCAACTGAGTGATAGTGAAAATGATCTTTATGATCAGGCATCACGCTTCAATTTGGAAAGATTTTAGTACTTTTAACAAATTGCAGCAATCAGTCTGGAATGTTTGTTGAATCACAATAAAAAGTCTCTACATATGTCATCAATTTTATATCACTCATGGAGTCACAGCCCAACTCTAAGAAATAATTAAATTTTTAGTTGCTTATCCTGCAAATTTCTGAGCTGCTTGGATTTACACGGTTACCCAGCTCTCATTCCCTCCCACGTCTTCCAGCCTTTAACTTTCCTCAATCAGAACTTGCTGGTCCCTAACTCCTATGAAAGTAAAATTCCTACTGAGGCTTTATTGGAAAGTCATTTGATGAACCAGAAAGCTCATCAAAATATAATTGCATGTACAGAGAACCTAGAAGAACCTTACTGGAGAATGGCCACATGGTTTTCTCTAAACTCCATTGTTGTCCCACTTGGGAGGAAGGTTTTTGGATGTTTACTACAGTCAGTCAACAGTGAAGGTTCACTCAGTAGTACCAGCTTGATGGAGCCAATGGCAAAACAGCAGTTAATAAAGCCAACACATTCCAATTGTTTGATATAAGAGGTTTCTGGGAGTGTGACTTTTTTTTCAAGGCCATTTAATTACATACCCTGATGTCTTCACTCAGCCTTTCTCTAAAATATATTTTCCCAATTTTAGCATATCCCCCCTCTCTACTCTCAATTAGCTATTGCATTGGGCCTCTGCTTCCAAGCCCCATAAGTAATAGTAACTTAATTTTCCAAGCCATAAATCAGGTAGACGCATGCTCCATAGCACATGTTCCATTTGTTTTTAATCAGGGGCAGCCTGGTACTTAGAGGTCGGAAGCTTTAATTCAGAGGGCTCCTATGCCTTTTGGAGCGAGAGGTCTTTCAGCTTTCTAGAATTCCCTTTGTGAATGTTTAAGTGTCCTTTTGGCAAACAGGATATATACAGCATCTCATACGGAAACCTTCTTTAATTCACTGACCTATATACCTTCCCTTCTAGCTGAGTTCTAAGATTAAAAGAAACATTAAACAACATTCCTGTACTTATGTATTCTCCTGATCTTTAATGTTGTACTTGCAAAAGACATGTAGTTTTAGGGGGAAAGGATGCCAGGGAAGGGAGTTATGAGATGTTAGGCTTCTAGAAATCATTTCAGTAAAGCAGTTCTAATCAGTAGCAACATAACTGAGATCATTTAAGATTGAGACTGTCTTGAAGAAGTTAAAGAACCATAAAAAATCTCAAAGTTTTTAAAGACTCAGAGTTCCTAGCACCCATTGTATAGAGCTGGAAATGACCTTAGAGAGACTTTCTATAACCTCCACATTTCATAAATGAGGAAAAAGGAAAGTGAGGCCCAGGGAAGTTTTAAGCTCAGAGAACAGCCACAAGCCTAATTAATGCAAATCTAGAATCAAGTTTCAGTTATTCTATGCACTGGGACACTGGATGTAAAATTAAGCCCAATAAGCATTGTGTCAGATGAATTATCCACTTATCATAAGTATTCAGAAGTTTCTCAGTTATTTACCAACCTCTCCTGTTTCATCTAGATACACTGGATTCCAATTTTAGAACACCAAGAGTTAAGAGAAAAATCCTGAAAGTTATCAGAGTAGTAAAAAATATAAAATAAAATTAGCCAGAGTGGCTGGAGAATCACATCGACATAAGCACTAACACCAACATTGGATTTAAAAAGACAAAAAGCATTTTTAATACTAAAAGAAAATTTTTTTTAGCCCATAATTCTTTTAGGCCACAACAGCTTGCACTGTTATTTTTTTTCAGGCATGAGTTTGAAAAGAAGATTTTTCTACAAATCGTAAGAATACAGTTAAACTCCTATAAACATTCTGGCACTAAATTTCCAGAAAGTATCCATGTGGAAATTAGTGTGCATGGACTGGGAGGACAGAGGAGTAGAAATGCAGAATATTATTCAGTGTAGCTAATGTTAGTGAGAGTATAGAGAAGTAGCTATGTTTGTAAACGAAATTACAGGACAACTTTGTAAAATTTTGCAACATATAAAAAGGGCATGTGCTATGACTTAGCAATTCCTCACAGTTGTCACCCTTAAAAAATACTTATTTCTGTGTATAAAGATTTCATAGAGCAGTTGTTCCTAATGGTGAAGAGAAATGTTAGAACCGAACTAAATATTAGAGCTAAATATTAGAACTAAATATTAGAACTGAACTAAACAGCTTTCAGCCACAGAGGACAGTTAGAAAATCTGGGCTGTATCTGATCCATGGAATCCAAAGTAGTAATTAGGAAAGCAAAAAGAAAAACAATAACCAAACAAACAAACATAGACAGGCCTGACTCAAAAAGACCTTCAGGGTATATTTTTCAATAAAAAATGCCAAAAAAAATGCATTTTTCACAGAAAACATAGAGCACACATAGAGACTTTATGTGTATGTGTATAGTATGTGTCATTATACTTAGGTATGGCTCATACCTTAGTGGAGTACCTCTTATAGGTTGTGTCATACACGGATACCTAAAAACATGGTCTCTACTTTCCTAGAACTTATCTTTTATAGGTGCCGAACTACAGATGGTGTCTCTCCTTTCAGCAGGATGCACATTATAGAAGCGATGAGCATAAAGGAAGAGAAAACTGAGAAAATAAGAAGTGACCATATTTGGTTTTTCTTTTTCTTTTCTTTATTTTAACATTCATCATTTTTTTTACATTTTTTAGACAATATTTGCTTCCCCCCACCCCCTCAGATTGAGTCCCCCTAGAATTTCCTTATTTGAAGGGCTTTGGAAGGTCTTACAGAGCAGATGACTGAGTGGGTAGAAGTACTCTGAAGGAGTAGTGCTTTGCCATTAAAGAACTGTAGGGAGAACATTCCAGAAGGACTAATAGAACACTCAGTGGACTATAGCACAGGTGGGCAAATTAAAAAAAAAAAAAAGTGCATTTTTCACTACAGAAAAGAGGAAACTGCTAAAGACAAGGAACATAATTCGATGTTTGCTTTCAGGAAGACAACGGGGTATTCTGGAAGACAGGATGGAAGAGGTGAGCAGAACACTGGCAGAGATTTTGTATAAATCCACATGAGAGGGGACGAGAGGGTTGAGGGATGGGAGAAGAGGAAACTGATGTGATAGAAATGTCAAATTTTTGAAAAACTCTTGCTAACGGATTTGGGGGTTGTTTTCAAGTTATTTCTCAATTTTGTTGTTTGCATCTGCTCGGTCCTTTTTAACTTCTCCTTCCACCCTCCCTGGAGGGTGTGGCATCCAGTAGATGGAAGAATGGCTTTGCCACCCCTGGCCTGAAAGATGGCCTTTGGGAGGGTGCTGGGACCCTGGGGAAGGCCGGGGAAGCCTCTCTTCCAGATGTCCTGGGGGGGGGGGGGCGCGATCTCTTGTCCCAGCTCCCCTGGCATCCAGGGACGATGTTCCCACAAACAGATGCCTTCAGCCACACGATGGGGACTCCTGTAATTGGCTTGGCATCCCAGTTCTCACCACAAGTTGGCAGAGGCCAGTGACACACAGAGAAAGACGTGTCTGTGGGCATGACCCTCTCCAAAGCCGTGGTCTCGAGCAGGGGGTGGTGACAGGGTGGGGCGGCCCGCAGGGGACGGGAGTCACGGGGAGGTGCTGGACAGGGGCTGAGGTTTGGTTTGTATTAACACCTCCTGGCTTTGGCTGCTTTGGTTACTTTGCTAAACCTCAGAAGGGTGAATTATAAGGCTGGAAATCTTACAAGAAAAGACCTCCTGGGGACAGTTTCCCAGTCCTCGCCTGGCCCACGGACCTTGGTCTGCGCCTTGTGAGTCTCGCCTACACAGCTCCAGGCTGGCCACGCTGCGCCAGGACGAGAGGGAAAGCGTCAAAGAAAGCCATTCTTTATGAGGGCAGAGAAAATCAGCTGAATTTTTTGCAACGGCTTAATGAAGTCTAAAAATAATGGTTTGTGGAATTGCTAGTTTACCGGGTCCCTCCCATGTATACCTGTTAGATGAAAGTTTTGCTCGTGTCTTTTGTCAGAAGAAGAATCATTTATAAGAACAAGGTCAGCGACCGATGTGGTGTGTGTGGGTTTTTTTTTAATCCCTGGGACTTCACTCCCCTCAGACTCTTCCCCTTACACGGAGGACACAAGTCAGGCTCTGGCTGAGTCTGTGTGGGGTCCCCACTAGGCCTGTGGCTTTTTGTCCACGTGTGGCCAGGGATGTGCCCAGACCCCCCGGGGAGCAGGAGCTGAGCTCCCAGGCCGGGAATCCCACTGGCCTCCAACTCGCTCTCCCCCACCTCCTTGAGCCTCTGAGATCCACCACATTCACACTGTCTCTTAAAATGACTTTTTTTTTTCTTCCCTTTGATGCCCTCGTGTTTCTTGGTCTTTCCTCTTCTGTCCTGCCCCCTGCTCCACACTGATTGTGGACCCTGTAAAAGTAAACACTGATCGGCTGTTTGAAGACTTCCCTGTGTTCACGGTGTTGGGTTTTGAAGGGATTAGGTGGCGCTTGCAACCAGCATTATCTCAATTAAAAAAATACAAAAATCAATTAAATGAAAAATAAAAGAAATGAAGGGAATAAATGTGTCAGAGGGAATATGTGTGTGGGAGAGAGGAAGCGGGAGGGAGAGAGAGAAGTAAAAGAGGGAGGGAGGTCTCCTTGGTGGCACAAGGGATTGAGCACCACACTGTGAGGCAGGCCACAGCCTTTGCAGCACGAGTTCGATCCCCAACTGGCCAGGGAGCTACCCACACGGCCCAGAAGACCTCTCTTGACTCACCTGTTGCTCCCCTTGTCAGTGTGTTTCGGTTGGTCTGCCTGCTCTGCTCCCCACTCTCTCTGGTGGATCCTCTCACCAGCCCCCCACCAGCTCCTGTATGCATAAATAAATAAATCTTAAAAAAATAAAACAGGGAGGAGACAGGGGGCAAGGAGAGAAGAACAGGAGAAAGAAGGAGGGAGGCAGGACGGAGGAAGCAAGAGCACTTAGACGAAGTGTTTGTGAGAGTGACGCTTGCTCGGAAGTGAGTAAAATACACTATTAGAAATAAGACAAGACACAAATGGGCTTGACCGTTTAGAGATCTGCCCTCTGAGGATGCTCAGAGTCCCTACTGAGAGGAGACATGCCATATTATTCTTCTTACAAAGACCGGTGGGGGCGCTTGATAGGCCTAAGAATTTGATCATGGGAGAAAGTAGGACTAGCTTTGTTTCTAGAGCCGTCCTAATGAGTTTTGGGATTGGATATGCTGGGCCAGAAGCCTTTGAAGTAGGGGTGGAGGGCTGACCTCATCCGTATCAGAAGCAAATCAGCATGAGAAGAAGAAATTGGAGACTGGCCATGAGAGAAAGAAGGAAATAAAAAAAATATGGCAGTCGGCTGAGGCACCGGGCAGAGAGGGACATTGAGAACCTACTTGATATGGGATTAGCCAATAGGATTTTAATGTAGACATGAGCCAACCGGTTGCTGCAGTCTCTCGACGTGAAATGACCTTGTTTCGTTGCTTAACTTCAGACTTTCTTATGTGTTGATCAAACAGAATTAACTCAGGATGGTGATATTTGGGGAAAGTCAGAGCAAGGGGCATGCGTTTTCAAAGTGTATATGGTTCAGGGAAAAAGAACCCTCACATGAGATACAAAAGAAATCAAAGAAAGGTCAACAGAAACAGGAAGTTGGGGAAAGTCTTAACTATGAGAAGCAAAAGCTCCTTTAGACAGTCCACCCTGTTTAGAAGAGTTTGGCCTCTGTCGTAAGATAAAGGATCAAGACAAGGCCTCCCCGGTGGCGCAGCGGCTGAGTGCTGGGTTGCGAAGCTGCCCGAAGCCTCTACAGCACCAGTTAGATCCCTGGCCGCCGGGCAAAGGTCCCCCATGGTGTGCAGACCTCTCCTGCTGCCCGCTGCTCCCCTCAGCAGTGTATTTCTTCAGTCTGCCTGTTCTGTTCCCCGCTCTGGCTCTGGTGAATTCTCTCACCCTCCCGCGCTTCTGACTGTACCCAGTGCTTGTATAAATAAATAAATAAATCTTTAAAAAAAAAGGATCAATACAATTCATTCATGAAAACATGTTCTCACCCAGCCAAAGGACTGGGAGATTCAGGCATATAAGGTATAAATTACATGCACATTCACACACACAGACACACTTACACACTCATATGCACACTCGTAGCCAGCCTATCTTATATTGTTAAGTGTTGTCAAACAAGTCACTTCCTGGGCCTCCCTAGTGGCTCAGGGGTTAAAGACAGCTCTATTAAGCTACTGCTAGCCACTATAGCATGAGTTTGATCCCGGGCCAGCCAGGGAGCAACCCACAGGGCGCAGCAGACCTCTCCTGTCTCCCCGCTGCTCCCCTCAGCAGTGTATTTCAGTAGCTCTGCCTGTTCTGTTCCCCACTCCCTCTGGTGAATCCTCTTACCCCCACACCTCTGGCCTGTACCCCAGTTCTTGTATGCATAAATAAATAAATCTTAAAAAAAGACAAACAAAAAAACCTAAACAAGTCACTTCCTTCTGGTGTTCAACAGGGAATGCTGGTCCTCCCGGAGGAGCTATAGATGTGACATTAGAGGCCAGAGTAGAGGCTGTGCTATAGCTTCAGGCTTGCATCTCACGGCACTGAGGGCCCCAGCATCTTAGCCACGTGTCCCTTTCAGTGGGATATACCCATGGTGCTTCGGGAGTTCCATGAATTCAACTTATTCAGAATATCCCTCAAATTCTCTCCAAACCTTGTAAAATTCTTCTAACCATTTGCTTGGTAAATAAGAGGCAAGAGATTAAATTGTTTATCTATATTTCCTTATGTAACTTCCTCCAATCATAGCAAAAAAAAAAAAAAAGATGGAGTGTTTGGTCAAGAGAAGCTACTCCTGACCCCTCTCCCCACCTCCAGCTTCCAATCTCTCACCTCGCTGGATCTTAGAGGTGGGTGAAGTTTTGTATCTGCTGCATGGCTCTGAAATGAGGAGCAACCACGTCTCTTTTTGTCTTCACTCTGTCCCAGAGCCAACCCCATTGTTCTCTCGCCTCTTTCTAGAAGGTATTCCGGTTCCAACAATCTTTGAAATGGGAAAGTGAAGAGAACACAAATGTTCCTGTTTATTGTGCCCCATTAGGAAAGAGGGGGGTGAGTTGAGCCCTCCGCAAGGTCCTGAGTGGATGAAAAGAACACAAAACATATGGAAAATATGGAGAATAAGGTATAAGTAATAAAAATAAAAATAAAATAAATAAAATAAATTGGGAATGCCAGTTTCTGGTAATGATTTGTTTTCACAGTAACTGAGAACTCCCTTAAACCTGTGATTAATCACACATTATGGGGCGGGTAAGCTAGGGAATTAGGGGCTCATTGGGACTGGGGTTATTAGTGCAGCTGCTTTTCATTGATGAGATCTGAGTTCAAATCTCCACCAACGTTACAAATGAAAATGTCATTCTGAAAGTTAATTAGCTCCACGCAATAAATGCTGGCTCCTTGATTGATGTACCTAAAAAATCACTACCCAGAACAAAAATTATATATATGGCCCGTTAGGAGAGGCAAGCCAGTGAAAAAGTCAGACATTATTTCAACCATTTGCTTTTCTTAATAGTCCAACCACCTGCAAGTAAATAGAATTTATTAAGAGAAGGTGGAGCTTCTAGTGGCCAGAGACCGAGAAGAAACATGTGCACATATTAAGAATGGTAGAATTTTAGAGCTAGTAAAAAATCTTTCAAAGCCATCTAATCTAATTCTTGCCTTTTTAATAGAAGGGGTAATAGAAATTTGGGAGGTGAAGTGACTTGCTTAAGTCACACGGTTACCTAGTGGCTGGGCTGACTTCCAGGTGTGCTGACTGTTACCACTTTCTCTGAATTATTCCCAGGAACTCGGCCGGGCTCCCCCATTTTGGCTCGGACCTCAGCCTCTCCTCAGGGCTCATCCATAGGAACTTCACTTTGGTTTGTTTTGTGCTTCAGAAGGTTCTGGCAAAGGTAACAGGCAAAACAAACCCTAAAAATCTCAGGACAGAATTGAGGCAACTATAGCGGAGGGGAAGGTGTGAGCAAAGGGGGAGGGGCCCTCTGGGCTCGGGTGGGAGATTTTCGTTGCTTTGTTGGTGAGAGTGGTGTGATAACATCCATTTGTAGAGGTGTGAGCCTCTATCCCTAACACGTACACAGCTTTGTGAAACAACATGACCTCAATAAACATCATTAAAAAAAAATCTTACTTTCTCCATTTTTTTTTTAATGGAAACACTTCTATCAATACCAGCATCATTGAATTTATAGGCAGAGAAAAATCAACAACTGTGATTCTTTCACATTAAAGGTCCTAAATAGAATTCAAAGTAAATTTTTTTAAAAGATTTATTTTTTATTTATGCATATAAGAGCTGGGGTATAGGCCAGAAGCATGGGGGTTGAGAGGATTCACCAGAGACAGAGTGGGGATCAGAACAGGCAGATTGACTGAAGTCCTCTGCTGAGGGGATCAGCGGGCAAGACAAGAGAGGTCTGCCTCGCCATGTGGGTTGCTCCCTGGCGGGGGATCGGACTCATGCCACAGTGGCTGCTGGTAGCTTCATAGTGCTGAGATGTAACCACTTGCGCCACCAGGGAGGGCCTGATCCACTTCTCTTTTTAAGAAGAGGTACTAGACACCCATCTCTCTGTCTCTCTTTGTCTCTCCCCTACACCCCACCACAGAGGAAGGCTATGCAAGGATGCAACTAGTTGGCAGCCATTTGCAAACCAGGAAGACCGCTCTCACCAAAAATCAAGTTGGCCGAAGCATTGATCTTGGACTTCAGACCTCCAGATTGTTTGGAAAAAAAAAAAAATTCTGTTGTTTAATCCACCCTGTCTATGATATTTTGTTATGGCAAAAGACTAACACAGACTTGAAAGATGGAATTAACCAGGCTTTTACAAGCCTGTGTGTCTGGGTCGACACGCACCAAAACCACAATTTGTTTTCCCCTGTCATCTCAGCATTTCTGTTCAGCTATCAAGGGGAAGGGGACACTTCCATTACTTGAATTGCTCTAATAATGCCAAGTAGACAATCTGAATGAGGCGTCTACATTGCTTTGTTTAGATGGTATTTTGAAAGAATGACTATATTTAAAACATATCTACTGAAAATAATACATGTGTTAATAATCACGAAAGATGTTAATAAGATTGTCAAGTTGATTAAAATTTCTCAATAACAGATGTGATGTGATGAAAAAGTTGGAGGGGCAGCTGATTTTTCTGGAGTGAATTGTTTTCCTGTGTTGAAACACATTCTACAAGTCATACGCAAAAAATTTTACTGTAAAATGTTCAAACCCAACATACTTGTAAAAAGTAAAGTATGAGCTACCTGTCAACATTCTCCACACCCTCACCAGTCCACATGCAGATACTGTTCTAGACATGTATATTCATATGTGTACACACATAGATACTTATTTGGAATTATTAATATATATTTAAATTTTTATGTTGTAAATGCTACATTATGTGTTTTATGTTTCTGGTTTTTTATTCAGTAATATAGCATGTATCACCCCCCTATAATCCAATAATTTTTGCATTTATAGCAGATCACAGGGAATAAATACAACATGTTGGACTTAATTTCCTTGGTATATGTGGGGTCCCAGAGGTTCTGGTGGAGTGGTGGGAGAAGAAGGGTGTCTGGAAGGATCTGGAAGGGAACCCTGAGGAGGAGCTGGAGAGCTGGTCTCTGATGTCTCACCCAGACTGTGTACATCCCGTTGAAATGTTTCTTAGTCACGAATTTTACATCTTTAGACCTTTGACCTATGACCTTTATTTATAGTCTTGTGCCAGTTCCCAGCAGTGGTAGTGAGGGGCCTCACTCAGCCCCTGGCTGCCTCCCCATCTCCAACTCGAGCAAAGGTAGAGTTTCAAGTCTGACACTGGAAATCTGTCTTCTCTTTCCTTTCTTCTCTTTCTTTCTGAATGGATTGTCTGCTTTCCTCTCTCTTTTTTCTTAGATTTTATTTTTATTTATTTTTGCATACAAGAACTGGGGTGTAATGGTGCAACAGACCTCTCCTGCCAGGCCTGCTGCTCCCCTCGCAGTGTATTTCATCAGTCTGCCTGTTCTGCTCCCTGCTCTGGCTCTGGTGGATTCTCTCACCCTCCCGTGCTTCTGACTGTACTCAGTGCTTGTATAAATAAATAAATAAATCTTTTTTTAAAAAAAAGAACTGGGGTGTAGGCCAGAGGTGTGGGGATGAGAGGATTCACCAGAGACAGTGAGGAGCAGAACAGGCAGACTGACTGAAATACACTGCTGAGGGGAGCAGTGGGAAGACAGGAGAGGTCTGCTGCACTATGTGGGTCACCTCTCTGGCCGGGGATTGAACTCAGGCCACAATGGCTGCCCATAGCTTGATAGTGCTGAGACTTGAACCCCTGAACCACCAGGGAGGCCCCTTTCCTCTTACTTTTTAAAGGCTCACGATTACATTGAACCCACCCAAATAAGGCAGAATAATCTGCCCATTTTAAGGTCACAACCCAGATTCATTGGCTAAGTTCCTTTCCCTATTCTTTCAATGAAATTTTTAAAAGTCTTTTTAGATTCAACTCATACTTACTGAGAGCTAATTACCTTCGAAGCTCTGTACTAGATATTTGGACTGATAATGTCTAATGTAAGTGACCAAACCACTATATTATGTGAAGTGTTTGCTTTGACTGAGAAGCAATTTTCCCTTCTAAGGCGCAATCACTGCCTACAGTGTTTGTGTCCTAGAGGAAACCAAATATGACGGCAAGATATTTTTCTATCTTGAGGTGTTGCTACCAATAGCACACCTTTGAAAAATGCACAGAGCAGTTGCTTCAAGGCCAGTTAGACAATTGGACAATCCCAGAAGTTAGTATTTGAAAGAAGCGAGGTTATGCTTAAAAAAAACTAGATGGAGATTCGAATGGAAATTCAAAGTCAACTCATAGTACTTGAAATATAGTTCTATGTTTAAAATACTCTATTATCGGGGAAATCATCCAGATATCTTGTGTCCCTTATTCAAATTCTTCCTTATTCAAATTTCCTAAATAATATCTTTCTACTCAGCTTACCCCCAAAGCGTTAACTATCATAGACTCATTAGCTAAAAGGTTATTCCACCCAATCATATGTATATCTCCAATCTAACCTGTCCTCTGCATTCCAATGCCATTGTATTAGCTCAGGCCTGCTTGGGTTTTGCTTGGATTATAGTAATTGCCTCTATTCTACCTTAACTGCCTGAAATCATGGCTCTTTCCCTGTGCCCCTCACAATTTATTTTCTACATTGCCTGAGCAATCTTCCTTAAATGCATGCCTGAGCATGTCATTCCCTGATGAAAATCCCTCAATTACACTCAATTGCATTCATAATACAATCCAAACTCTTTAGCAACAGCCACTTTAAATCATTTCTGGAATAAGGTGGAGACGTAAATACAAACATGGACACGTGCTTAAGGGAACTGCTTAGCAGGGCAAATAAGGAGGACACTTTGCAGCTGAATCTCTGACCTCTCTCCCCCCACCTCTTGATCCTTACACATTCCAGGCACCCAAATCTTCCCTCATGCTACTGAAAATGCAGCTGCTCCCTCCACATAGAATTCACCCCTCCCCTATGTCTGCCCAACCCTCATTCTGATGCCTTAGCTCATATATGTACCTGGAAACCTTCAGAAATGGATTGAAACTTCTTGGAATGGATCCATCTTCTAGTGTCTTCTGGATGTATCCATCTTCTAGTGTCTTCTGGATGTATCTCTCTGCAACCACTTTTCTTGAGTTGTTGTCCTGCCTTTTCTTGTTGATGGCCAGATCTTGACTTCACTGAGAGTAGGTACAAGGGTAACTTAGGTATTTGGTGGGCATCCTGGTTATGTTGTATAGAGTTGTCTTATTTGTTTTGAAATGCCACATTAGTTTTTCCATTCTGAAGCTCTTTAACAACAAATAATGTGTTGTTTATTATAGGCTCCTAGAAGAAACCAGGGAGACCCTTTTGGCTCATCCCACACTTGGCATGCAGGTATACTGTCCCTAGCACTTGGGCTGGTGGTTGCCTGGCATCTGCATGTCACCATCCTCAGGGGATCCATGGTGACTCTTTATTAGCTCTACTTACTCTCTGAGATGAGTTTGGGGAGGGTCTTCTCAGGTTTTTGTTCTTCTAGAACCATGATCATGGAACTGCCCCTTTGTTGAGTAATTTGTGTAATTATGAAGTAGGTAAAATAGGACCTGGACAATTATTACATCCCCTTTTCATTGTTCCCACGGGCTTTTCCTCCTCCCAAGATCTGTGCTTTGACCTGCCCCAGTTTCCTACTCCTACTGGCTTCCTTCCATTTCGTTTGTGCCTGGGGGCAAATCTTCCACTTTCTTCTATGTAAATCTTTAGGATCTCAGTTCCCCTGGAAACATTGAGAGTAGGAAAATCCATAGTAAGTGGTAATGCTAGTGATGATTTAATTATCTATCTACATACTCTTTAATGTTGCTAGGTTTTTCTACTCTAACCCAGAGAAATTAACTTGTCATGATGTAATTTCAGACATCAGAAACGAACCCGTGAGGATATGATGGGTGTTGAGACTATGGATCTTCTCCACATCCTTAGTAAATGTGCCATCTGAGTGTCTATCTGTTCTACTTAACCATTGAATTGTTACACAGAGTTGATTTGTCTTACAGTAGAAACAATCCAAACTAGAACATCCATAGAACAAGCTCAGTGCTTTTGTAATGTGATGAGAAACAAGGAATTTTGTTGAGAAGCACATTTTGTAATGTGATGAGAAGCAAGGAATCTCTCCTGGTGCTGAAAGCTCCACAGAAAAGTGCTTGGGGATTGGAACACTCAATGGCTGGGTAGATGTTTCCTGGTTGTTAGGGGATCCTCCTTGCATCCAGTTTCAGGAAGCATCATAACAACTTACAGAGGGAAAATGAGGTTTCTATACCAGAGGCTAGTAAAGGTCACTGAGGAGTAGTGCATTTTGGAAATTTGTTAATTCAGACAGTAAAATTCATACTCAGGACACATTTTTAATTTTGCTTTTATTGATGTTTTAGTTTGACATTTCCATCCTTAAGGATTCTTTGCTGTAGTTAATGGTGATGTGATTTTCCACACTGATAGGAGCCCTGGCTAGCTTCCCCTCCACTGCTTTTGGCTGCCAAGACCCTGAGGGCTCGAATACATCCTATTGTCTTTCTTCACTGGAATGATCGAGGGAGAGGCTTCTTAGAATCCTCTGGCTAGGTTGGGACAGCAAGACTCATTCCTGGACCTTTGTTTCAGCTTGAAATATACCACAAATTAATTGGGCTGATGCAGGTAATTTAGACAGTCACTTGGATCCTATGCCTTTCCTCAGAAAAAAATTGCTTTAAGTTGCCAGATCTAAGCTTGGTGTATTGAAATGTTAATGATCCATGGCCTTTAAAAGAAAAATCTTCCTTTGAATGGTATTCACAGCAAAAGAAAATGTTTACACTGATTAACACTCCTGCTGTAGCCTCACATACACACATACAGAAATTTTTGAAAGTTTTATTTACAAGGGGAGTGAGCCTACCAGCAATACTGTCTGAGCTGAGACACCAGGTTGCAAGTCAAACCTGGAAAAGCAGGAGAGCGAGAACATGTATGGGGTCAGTTTTAAGTCCATCATAGCCACTTAACCCAACCCTAGTTCCCAGTGGTGCTGCATTAAGGAAGTCAGGTTCATGGCATGCTGGGAGTTGTAGTCCTCAGCATCTACAATTTCATCACTGTCGAAATGGAGGTGGAGTCTCTTTGGGACATCATTCACTGGTTCCAGTTTTTGTTTTTCACTGTTTCTCTGACAAAATGGTTTGAGCAAATGGGAGTAACTTGCAATCAGAGTCAGTTAGAAAAGGAGACTTTGATAAATAAATACAGTAGGGCAAACAGTCATTTGGTCTTCTCTGACAGTGGCAAATATTCTTTAGTAGTACCATGTTTGTACTTATAAGCCTAACAAATCATGGCATTGTGTCTTTTTCTAAGGACCGATAGCCTTTCTAGTCTTATTTCTTCACCAGACAAAGACATGAGCTGGAAGACCTGATGTACATTCCCAAGTGGATTTCTAAATCTAAGGGGTCAATGGAGGGACTTCTAAATCTAAGGGGTCCATCAGGCAAACAGCTCCTGATCAGAAGTATCAAAATGAGCATCAGAAAGGAAGTGTTTGCATCAAAAAGAATATGGTGAGAAGCACAGGAGTTCTTTGTCTGATGAAGGGCTAAGACTGGATTGTTGTAGTCTCTCTGTACAGACAGATGGACAGTCCCATCCACAAGCTGGGTTTGGATGTTCAGGGTGAAGGTGGGAGAATGAGAAGGGAGAACCCCTAACCTTTTTTTTTTAAAACATTTCATTTATTTATTTATTTTCAAAGATTTATTTATTTATTTACTTATGCAAGCACCGGGTACAGTCAGAAGCGCGGGAGGGTGAGAGAATTCACCAGAGCCAGAGCAGGGAGCAGAGCAGGCAGAAGGACCAAAGTACACTGCTGAGGGGAGCAGCAGGCGGCAGGAGAGGTCTGCGCGCCATGCAGGACCCTCCTCCGGTGGCCGGGGAGCAGCCGGGGATGGAACCGGCACTGCAGAGGCTGCGGGCAGCTTCGCAACCCAGCGCTCAACCGCTGCACCACCGGGGAGGCCCGAGAACCCTTAACCTTAGCCCCCTGCCTCAGCTCTAACACCACTGATTGGAGATGGGACCTTTCTCTCCCTCTACACTGTTGGCTGGAATCATCATCATCATCATCATTTGCTGCACCAAAAAACTTTTGTTGACATTTTATGGCAGGTTCTGGACCTAGAACTGGTGAGAGAGGTTCTGACTCAGTTTTGGTTTTTCCACCCTTTGCCTGGTACTGCTCAGACAACCATTTCTTCCCCTTCAACTCAAGGAGGATGCTAAGCTCCACCCGATTCCCTAGATTGTCTCTGGGTAGTAAGCTGGGTGAATCATAGGCCTCACCTGGCTGTTGCCCTTCTCTCAAGGTCAAGTTCCTCCCTGGACTGATGCCCAATGTCTTCAAAGCCTTTGTTTCATGTATCCTAGTCCCTGTTGTAACAGTGTATCCAGTGGGAGGATTTTACTCCATCTTGGCCTATGTGGATCTCGTACAGGTAAAATTAGATAAAAATATGTTGCATGAAAACTATCATGATCTCAGCCATTATTTTTTTTTTGAAAGATTTATTTATTTATGCATACAGGAGCTGGGGTACAGGCCAGAGATGCACGGGATTGAGAGGATTCACTAGAGACAGAGCGGGGAACAGAACAGGCAGACTGACAAAATACACTGCTGGGAGCTGTGGGTGGCAGGAGAGGTCTGCGTGCCACGTGGACCCTCTCCGGTGGATGGGGATCAAACTGGCACTGCAGAGGCTGCGGGCAGCTTTGCAGCCCAGTGCTCAACTGTTGTGTCACCAAGGGAGGCCCAAAATTGTGTGGTTTTCATGGAAGTGCAGCAACTTGAGTCTCCCAGTAATTTCAGTTGGAGAACAGTCTCCTCTTTGTTATTTCCAAGTGACTTTTTTGGGGGAAATGATCATTCTGTATTAAATTGATCATATGATGCTGAGGATAAAGTATCAAACTGGGTACTTTTCAGGCAAGACCTTTAACCTCTCTGGCCCTTCATCTCTTCTCCTATAGGGCAGAGTTGACACTATATTTTGTTGTGTCATTCTGATGATTAACTAAGATATTGATGAACAACTAGCACAGGGCCAGATTCCTAATTATTTTCAGAAACTAGTAGTTTATTAATTCTCCAACACATTGATAAAATCAATATAGTGAAGGACCCTTGATTTTGTCTTACAAGACTTTGTTGTCAAAACCTACAGGTGTTTTAGGGGGTTGGTGTGTCTGAGAAAATTTCCTAGTGGATATGGATGGTTCCTGCAGCCCCTTATTGCATGATTCATACCCTACTAACACCCAGGGCACCAAGAAGGCAGCCTGCAGTGAATGGTCCATCTGCAGTGATGGCGCCTGGTGATTTGCCCTTGGAGCATCTCAGATCTAGGCCAGGGGTGAGGAAGTGAATCTCTTTCTGCGTCTCTCTAGCTGAGGACCAGCGGTGGGAGACACAGCCATAGCAGAAGACCAGCTGCTTTAGCAGCTAATAAATGAGAGGGGCTCTGCCTGACATTTGGAAATTTCCTAAGTGAGCAAGACTGCAGTGAGAAGCTGAATAACATCCTTACGCTATCTGTCACATCATTTATGTTCACTTCTCTTGGCCTGGCCTCAGCACACTGCATAAATCTACAGCTGCAGAAACCAAAATCTCACATAAAATTGAAGGATTTATTTTGAGGTATTGAAAGGTTTATGGCTGCAAAAGTTAAAATTCGCCGAATCGGCATTTGGAGGACTCTGCTTTATGCCTCACTCCTTTTGACTCTCCAATTCTGTTCTCTGAATTCCTGTCTCCATGGGGAGACAGGGAAGCTGGGGAACAGTGACGTGGATGGGATTGTCCAGACTCACCTACCCTTGGCCCCCGTGGCTTCATATTTCAACCTAAGTAGTCCTTGAAAGCTGTCGCTATGATATTAAAACCCATGCACGAGAAAAGTAAAACAATAATCCCATTCTGTTCCAGTGTCCAGATTGCAATTTTTGGACTCCAGAAACTTCTGATCGTTTTCATGACATAGCTCAGAGCACAGTGTTAAGATTTCAGTGCCCACTACCCTGCGTCTTTACTGCTTTGGGAGGAGTTAGTCTGAGGCTGGCGTAGGTCCTCGCTTCTTGCGCAGAATAAGAATCTGAGCCATCACTTCTGTTATTAGTCCCGGGTTCAGGATTTCTTCCCTGGCTTCTGCAGACCCTCTCTCTCGACCACCTACACCTCTGGCTAGTGGTTTGATTCAGTGCTTGCACTGAAAGGGATAGTTCTCCTGGTCTTAGGATGCTTGCAGATGGGTGAGGTATCCAAACAAAATAATAGTGAGAATAACAATAACGGGATGTATATGTGGAGTGCCATTAAGGCAAAGGTTGGAAGGCAGTGTGGCATATTGGAAAGAGTAGTCAATAGAAACCAGAAGTCTGCACATCTGGTACCAGCTCACTGTTCCTATCATCTTTTG